TTGTCAATTCCCCAACAGCATTCACAATTTCTTGAAAGAATGGCACAGGCTCCTAGTTTCTTCTAATTTATGCAGTCGCAATTTTTTTTTTTTACATAATGGAGTTATTCATACCAACGTGAACAGGACCACACTCTGAGCAAGCTGGATCTTAAAAGTATTTCAACCCAGCTAATGCCAAGGTGAGGGTTTCTTTAGAACTTTTCCACAGAAATTCATCCAGCCAATTCCCCTTCCCTAGTTTCAGCAGCAAAGAGCTTCCCCAGCACACTCTGAGCTACCCAGACAAGCCAAGTGAGCACTCAAGCGCAGATCTGGTTTCTGCCAGCATCCAGCAGAGCTTTTACCATGGCACTCCTGGTGATGGGCACAACAGAGCCCAGCCCCAGGGTATCCAACCAAGAGTGGCCTCCTGAACCCTCCTGGGCAGAGCCACCCCAGCAGCTCCTTGGGAACTGGGTACACAGCAAGGACTCCCACCTGAGCTTGACACCCAGCCCACACGTGCTTCAGATCCTCTACATTCATTTCTACTTAAAATTCAGCTTTCCCCCAAGTAGTCTGTAAAATTTTTCTCTACTTAACCTCAAATTGCCTTTCTCCCCTGCTCATAAATGAAAAAAAAAAAAAAAGAAAAAAAGCTTGGCTTTGGCTTGTCCTGGAGCATCAAGAAGTAAAACCAGCTTCGAAACAACTGCAAAACGGCACAAGTTGGGTTTCAGTGGGACTTCTAATGTGCTGTGAATTACACTGGTGCTTAATTAAATTACCTTGCTGAGCCTGGGCCTAAATTAATGTGAGACACACTCCTCAGTGTTTATTTGGCTTGGGTAATTAAAGGAAGTAACAAAATGAGGGTTTAGAGCTAATGTAAATGAAAGTTTCAGTAATTAAGTATTTCTTCACTCAGGCACCTGGCACAGCCTGCTTGGTGAATATAGTGGCATAGAAATAGGTGAACAAAATTGTTGTGCTGCAATCCTCTGCTACACAAACCAAATGGGGCAATTCTTAAGAATCAATCTTACCTCATCCTCATCCATTTGTAAACTATTTCATTTCAAGCCATTAAATTATTTTCTGTGTCTCTTTTGTACCCCCTGGTTCTGGATTCCATTGGAAGCCATCAAGTGGGAGCACAAGCTATTTACTTATTTACTTTAAGCCTGGAAAAAGGCTTAAAGTGAGGGAGACTTTGAAAAGGCTGGTGTCTTCTTGAGAAGTGGATGAAATTTCACACTGGTTCTTACTGAAACCAATTCACATATCCCAGGCCTTTGCTCTCCCTACCCCATCTCTCCCCTACCAACATAATTTGCCCATTTATGTTTTAGATCTGGTATAATAACTCCAACTCCCTAAAGACTCTGAACCCATTTCCACTCTGTAACATGAGGGCAACTCCCCCAGGGGCTGTGAAATGGCATTAGGGTAGTGGAGAATATGCTTTGCAGTATTAACATGAATTAAACTGGAATTGAAAATAAAGACCCCTGAACAGAGTTTCTTTTTGCAGCACTAATAAAATCTGCATTCTTGGCAGCAGCAGCCAAAATCTGGCTGGTGCACTGAAAGCAGAAACGCTTCCTCTGGCTGGTGTCGCCCCTTTCCTTCCCAGGGCTGCCAAGAACCACAGGTCGCTGCTGGAGGGGAACACCCATCAAGGTCTCTCTTAGTTTGGGGTCCCACCAGAATGAATATTAGCTCAGGGATACCAATTCATCTGCCAATGTCCTCAGCTGATGGAAGAAATGGATTGGAACAGGAATGAGTGAATGGGGGGAAAAAATCCTCAAAGTTTTGAAGTTGTCAAAGGTTTTGTTTTGATGTGGAGTTCAAGGCTCCAATAAACCTTTCTGCAAGTTTAAATGAAACTGAAAATGTGATAAGCCAGACTCTGCTTTGCTGGAATAACCAAAATCTATGGACCACACTCATTTTTACTGAAGGAGACAGAGACAGTGTAGTAGCTTTCTTACACCAAGTTCTTATTGATGTTTCTTTGTTGTCACCTGCATTTATCATCCACTGTATACATGTAATTCTGAAATCCATCTCTTTTCAATGGCATCTCTTATGTTACTCTGGTGAGACACCTGTGAGGAATCCTGTAATGACCAGCTACATCCAGCAGCTCTTGTCTCCCACAGGACACAAAGAGGGATGATAAGCCATTCAAAGGGAGCCTTGAAACTCTGCAGCAGCAAGTCCTGAGAGGGGAAAAAGAACCTAATGATTTGAAGGGCTTCTCTTAAGCTTCCTGCAACATGGCATCAGCCTTCAGATGATCTGCTGGGAGCTCATCAGGCTCCCATGAGCATCATTACTCACAGCACTACACTGTTATGGTCTTCCTATAGCCAGCACAGGCAATGCCAGTAAATAAACTATGGAAGCCAAACCAGTATTCCTTCAAGATCTAGGAGAAATATTGCCACAGAGGGATCATTGTCTACTGCACCTCACCATTACAAAAGTTTCACTGGAAAAAACATAGATATTGAAGAGAAAGTTAAAAACAAACAAAGGGGACTCCAGGGCTGTTTCATCTGGATTGCTGTTTCTGGTATTCTGCTGTCAAGTCTCCTGTCACATCTGGAAACTTTTTAGAATTGTTAGAGTGATCTAACACCTTCTGCTAAACTTGAACTCTCTTCAGCCTGCAAACCAGTCTGTACAGCCAGACCTGCCTGGTTTCCTCCTGTCCCAAGGAAAACTTACTGAATACCTGGCCTCTCAATCTCATGGATATCCCCAGTGTCCACAGCCCTGCCATGCATTATCCCTTACTCTCCCAGCCTAGCTGGTGGATACACTCAGGAATAAACCCACCCAGCTGAGTGGTCCCTTTTTAGCTCCTTTGTTCAGGTGACATAACCAGGTTACCAATCAGTCACCTTTCTAAATGACAAATATCCTGTGCTACAGTCAGGAAAAGTTTTTTTACATCTTTTACATCAGTGGATTTGAACCCCAGCCCTTTCAATCTCCCTTTTCAGGACATCAGCCTATTAACTGACACAGAACTCTGCAGAACAACCTGAACAGCCTCCAGTCAGAAGAATGCTTTTGTTGCAAATAGTGTCAGAGATTTCTGTACACAAACCATTGCAAAGGACCACCCATGGGTGTGATCAGCTACTTCATTTTACCAAGTACTTTATCAGTGTCTGTCCAGATCCCTCCCAAGTGCTCCAGCTATTGCCATTCTCAACTGCACACTGAGAAATGAGTGCAGGAAATGGACTTAGCTGAGGCCACAAAACATTTATCTTAATACTAGTCTGCTAGATTACCATGTTTATTTAAAGTGGCATAATAGCCTACAGTTGGGAAAAAAACTCCCAAGTGTAGGGATTTCCCAGTGCTTTTGAGTTCTCAGTGCTTTCCCCTAGTGATTTTGATTTCTCATCAGCAAATAAAAAGATGAAACACTGCTCCATGTGGTACTCTCTTCAGTGCCAAAATGTGGGCAGTGTACTGGAGGGTTAACTCACATCACCTACTTCCCTTGGAAAATTAGTAGGCTGACCAATAATCCTTAGTCTTTGGAGGCTTTAGGAATGTACAAATGACATTATTTGCAAATGTCTGTTTAGCTCATGCAGCTTTTAAGATATTTTTATATTTGCTACCCACTTTGGACATGTGAGTTATTCTCAGACTTCAATCAGGAAGCAGCTGGTCTGATCAATATACAAGCTTTTGTCCCACAGCTACTGGAGAAAACATGTTCTTGTCCAAGAAATTAAGCTCCTTGAGGTCAGGATCACAGAATTGTGTCCAGGAATCATTACCTGAACCCAAGAACACTAAACTTGACTACTTGCTATGAGATGCTGAGTTTTACAAATTAACATGGGTTGTGATCTGCCAAAGCCTTAATAAACTCCATTTATATGCATTATAAATTTCTTTCAGTCTTGTGGAAAAAATTACTTTTCCTGCAAAAAAACCCCCTCTAAAATACAAACTTTTAGTGACTCATACTTGCCAGCTGTATGAAAGCCCACCAAGGATATCACTCTAACCACAGAAATCACACTTTTGAACATCAATACCCTAACAAATCTCACATCAGAAAAATAAACCAATCCACCTAAAACTCGTGGATTTTGCTTTGAAATCCATTCCCCTGATCTGCCATGTTCATTTCTCTGAATGAGCTTCAATGTGAATGCAGCTTTTTTGCAAGTCAGAGAAAAATGGCACAGCCATACAGAAAAATGTTCCCCAAAGGCTCCCTTGTTGTGTGTAGGACATTAATAATGAGTTATCTCTACTGGTGGCATTTCAACATGACACACCCCAGTGTCACTCTCTGGCTTCCTGGGGATTTTTGCTTTGTTTTTATAGCCATAAAACCTCTCTGTATCACCACAATATTGGCCAATCACACGCATTAAAAAAAAAGAAAAATCATCTTTTTCTCCAGTGTTATAGCATGCAGCATAGTGAAGGGATAATTAACTCACAACTCTCCCTATTTCCCTTAGAAAATTATTATGCTGGCTAATAAACCTTACAGTTATGAGGCTTTTATGAACTTACAAACCCTGCAGTAATTTCAAGTGCATATGTGGTTTGTTCAGCTGTTTGAACACTTCTCACCTCAGTCACCCTTTCTCCCTGTGAACTCACACCCCAGAAATGCTTTGCATCAATGAAAAAGAACTGTGTGATTGAAAGTGTATGAGATTCCTGCACATTCACTCCTTCCATGACTAATTAGAGGGTTTGGGGATATTTTTTTTCCTTTTCTAAGTGGAGCTATGCTGCCAGAGGCTGAGAACTGGGAAGTTTGGTGCTTAACACACTCTGGATTTATTACCTGATCTTCAGGTGAACCACTTAAACCTCTAGTGGTCTCATTTTACCAAGTGTAAAACACAAGTAACAGTCATCACCTACCTTTAGGTGCCTTTGGACATTCCAGGGAAAACACCATCTCAAGGCCATGAGGATGTGCCAAACTTGTACTGTGGGATCAACTTCTTCCTCCAACTTTCCACAGCAGTTCTTGCCATTAAGAAAGCAGAGAATGCAGAACATGCAGAAAAATCTGACTTTATGTCATCCCATTAAAAAGGCCTAAAAGATAAATACACTACATATAGTATTTTCCAAAACACTGCACCAATTTCACTAAAGATCACTTAGAACAGTAAAAAATGAATAAGTTTGAATAAATATTTCTGAATAAAGAAAGAACTGTTCCAGACAACAGCTTGTGCCAGTTTATCTCTCTCCAACTGAAAATACCTGAGAAAACTGATGGAGATCATGGGTGTCCTCAGAACAAGTGAGAGCTGCAAGGCATCATCCTGTGATTTTCTGAACAGCATTTCCCCCTTGGGCTGCTGATGGGATCCTCTTGGACACACAGTCAGTAATGTCCTAGACAATATGTTTTCACTTAATGAATGATTTCTTTAACCAGTGTGAATGTGATACTTGGCTCTTTCAGTACTGTGAATAGCTGAGAAAAATGCATCTTCAACAAAGCAGGAAGGACATGAAATGCATTTTCACTGGCACATGAATATTCCTGAATGTCAGAACACACACCAGTCACCAGTACATTTGGGGACTTGAAAACTTCTGTAATGCCAACTGAACAAATCCAGCTGCATCATTTACCTGGTATTTAATGCAAAGAAACACACTGTGCTATGTCTCTTCCCTGGTAGTTACTCCAGGCAAGAGATTTTTGTTCTTTATTTTTCATATCAGAATTAAAAAACAAAAAAGAAACCAAAAAAGAACCACCTTAAAACACTATCTCTCCAGTAAATAGTCACCATCATTGTTCCTTTTTGAATAGGGAGATGTGACTTCACTTTGGCAAAACATTTTAAGAGATTCTAAGTCATTGCAAGCACCAATCACAAGAAGGAAATGAAGCCCTGTTCAGTTTTGCACATCTATAGTCCAGTGCATACAAAAATCACGGAGCACACCTCAATAAATTTTCAGAACACTTAGCAGCAATGCATTAAATATAATCATGGCTGCATGTTGGCTCTTTGTTCCTATGCTCAGAGGTGGAAGATTATGAAGTGGTGTCTTTCATCTTCTGAAGTTTGTAGACTTCTTTCCCTTTAAGTATACACATTACAAGGTTTGCAGAGGGTAAAGTCAACAAACTGTGCCCAGCAGCTGGAGCCCGGAGCAGAGGAACTAGTTCCTGTTGGGGCTGAGCCTCCAGCTCCAGATTAGTCACCAGGAATGCTGAGCCCTCAGACAGAGGTGCTTTGTTCTCATCCCAGAAAATCCCAGTGCACCCAGGGAAGCTCAGCTCACAGAGGCCTCACTGCAGAGTTTTGCAGTTGTGTTCAGGGCTCAGTTTAAAGCTGGGAAATTCACAATGACCTGAAGTGCTACGTGCCAGCATTCTGCCCTCAGTGCTCAGCTGGGCTCTCTCTCAATGCTCACAGCAGTTTGGGCTGCTGAGATTTAGAGGCCTGGGACACAACTTTATTTACAGCACACATCACACAAGAGCTTGTGTTGATGATCATCCCTATAAAAGCTTTTTATATGCATATAAAATAGATTAACTCCCCACACCATGGGTTGCCTTGAACATTTCCTGATCTTTATTTACATTTCTTTGGCCTGGTGAAGGGAAAGTCAGCACAACATAGAAAGGTCCTTATTTATACTCCACAAAACATGTACCTCTGGGAGAAGGGATAATAAAGTTCACATACCTACCTAAGGAGAGCAGTTTTGGTGACAAGCTGGTATTGCTGCTCCCAGTCTGCTTTTTAACTGGTTTTCCTTTAGAGCAAGACTATTATGTCAGCTTAAAACATTACAGTTGGTGAAAATCATCCCCTTCACTAGAAGGAAAAGAAGACATCCAAATTAATTAAGGAGACAAAAAAAAATTTATATCAGACTATTTAGAAATTCACACCACGAGGAACAGTTTAATTTAGTGCTCTCAAATGTGTAAAATTGAAAGATCTGACTTGAGAAAAAAAGTTTATGTATTCTTCATGCTGCACAAGCATGGCTGAATGTGCTTTATCTGCCACTTACAGAAAGGATGATAACATTCTCTCCTCCAGACAGAAAGATGTCATCTTCATAGCAGACTAACTCTGGGTCCTCACACTTGAAGATCTCTAGTCCATGACTGGGACTCAGTCCTGATCAAGCAGTTAACTTAAGCAAACGTGTCACCCTGGAAGGCAGGGCCATGGCACAGTCCAGTCCTTTACACACAAACTGTCTTTTCTCCAGCTCCCTGCCTCATTTGAGGTCCAACCTGAACACCCTATGAAGGCTGAGCTTTCAGAGCTAGGAGAAAGCAATTAAAAGATGTATCCAGCACATGAATGCTTCCAGGGAAAAAATGAATGCTCTGTAGCAATTCCTCACCTCATTAAGAACAAGAATGTAGGATTTGCCCAACAATAAAAGTTTAATGGCAGTTATTTTACATGGTGTCAGAGTCAGCCCCACACTGATCATCTGCTGGACTGAAATTCAAGACATTCAGATGCTCACCACTGACCTGCAAGACACAGGCCAAAGCCATACCTGGAACAACACCTTGCTATGAGGTTTTTATGAGGGCTATGCAGCAGAGCAATGCACAGCATGTATTGGAATATGAATCCCAATATTACCAGTTAGATTGTGCCTGGGCCAGTCTGACCCTCGCTGCTGGGCCAAAGGCGGGAGCTGTGGTGCTTCACCCCAGAGACATCTTTAGCTTGCTGATGGTTTCAGCTGGGCACTAAACAAGTCCAGGCTTGTTAGGAACTCTGTTTACCTCAGGAAGAAGGCTTCAGGCGAAGGTGGAGAGAAAAAAAGGAGAGAATTCTGCTGGAGGGTTTAATATCCAGAGGTTTATTCCATGGTGATAGAGGTCTGAATCTTGGGAAGAGCTCCAACAGAATGGCCGACCACATGGCCATTTAAGCTCAGGGGGAGGGGAGGGGACAGGTGAGCCACCAACCAGGTGGGAGGGGAGGGGTCTCAAGGGACGAGGGACACCTAGACAGACCAATGACCTCTGGCCTGAGGGGCATCCTTTGAATTTGACCAACCACACGACGCCTTGTTGGAATGTTAAGCCTGATTGACAGGACTCACTCAGCAAGGGGCGAGGGGGAAGGGGAAGAGGGTATTGGTACACCTGGGGAAGGGACCTGAAAGTTTGAAACACACCACAACAAGCATGAATGCTTTTCAGGGAGGCAGGGAAGCTTTGCAACCCAAAAGCTCCTCGTGACCCTAAATGGGATCAGCTTACAACCCTACAGACCTCACAGCCAGCAGGAGCTGTGCATGCCCTGCAAGCGAGCTCAAGGCAGATTTCAGTGCTTGCTACAGACCATCCTCTCTGTACCAGCACAACACAAACACACCAAAGCAGAGCTGGGTGGCCCCAGAACAGCACCTGGGCAAGATCAGAGGATGCCAGTGGACGTGCTGCTCCTGCAGTCCCAGCAGAAGGCTGTGCCAGGGACAGACAGTGTGTGGGAAGCAATGCCTGCAGCAAAGGGGCTTCCAACCACAGCACCTTGGCTATGCTGCAACAGAGTCATTTGGTGCTTTCCCACATGGCCAGCCAGCTCTCCTGGCTAGCAAGACAGAGATGCAGCAGAAATATCTTCCTTTCAAAGGATTACTCCTGGCTCTGGAGAGAAATTGTAATTTTTGGCAGTCTCAGGATGGGCTGTGCAAAGGGAAAAGGAACTTCTCTGCTCCCTCTCCCACACTGCAGCCACGCAAGGCCCAGCCATAATGTAGCTCTTAATAAAAAAGCACAGATGTGCCCTGTAGGCACTTAAAAGACTAAAAGAAAAAAAAAAGAAAAAGAAACAAAATGTTCCTGTGTGTTTCATAAATCGGTATATAAGTGTAATGCAACTTACTATCCTAGATAGCAAATGAAATATCTTCAGAAGTATTGAATCCTTGGTGAATTTCCTCAGTGGATCGGCATGAAGCTATTTAGCCCAGATGTTTCCATAATTCTGATGCATTAGGAGCTGCACAGCACCGTGGCCAAGTGTTAACACAGTGAACTGTAATGTAAAACATGTAAAGATCCTGGCTTCCAGAGTTATTGGAAGTTTTCACTCTAACCACTCTGCTTCCTTAAGCAGCTCCATTTTCTTTACAATACACACTTATATTTTAATGCACATGGAAGAACTAAAGCATTCCCCTCTCCCCATCAAAACCTAATTCTGTGCCTTCTCTGGAAGAACACAGAGAGGCCAACGAGGGATTGACACGGACTCTTTCAGAAATGGCAATCTCACCTCTGAACAGCAAATCTCACACTCCAGGCAAAAGCAGGGCCAGCAAGGCACAGCTGGGTACCACATGAGCAGGTGAAGAAGTGATGGTGAGATTTCTGATGACAACCTGGTGTCCAAAAGACAGACTGTCTCACTGCAAGGCTCTCGTTTGCATCTGTAATGGATTTAGGGATTTGTAGAGGTAGTTTCAAAGATATTCAAGCAGGTGCAATGTGTATGTTGGAATGGCCTGACTGAGTGTAGGAGCAATAATGGGAATATGAAGCAGCACAAAGAAAGGTAACAGCATGTGCTTAGCAGAACATGAGATAAAGAGTGCAAGAAATAAACTGGCAGTCTCTACAGAAGAACAATGCAATGGAATACCTTGCATTGACAGTTCATTTGGAAAAATCTTTGTCACTATACTTAATTATTCAGAAGAGTTTAAAATAGTTCAGGGATTATTTATTCAGTATCTACCTGCCAGGATGGGAGCTGAGAGTTTTGCAATTCTTCAAGACCTTATTATCCTAAAAGCACAAAACACAGTCCTAAATTAATGAAAATTAGCTCCTGCTACAGCCCTGGACCTGTAGTCACAATTCTGATTTCTTGTGAGTACTTGCTGGAATAGACCTCACACTCAGACAGAAAACCAGGTGTGAGAGGTGGAGTAACTTCATTTCTTGGAACAAAAATGCCAAAACTTCATTTAGGCTGGGTGTTTCTCATGCCTTTCTAAGGCAAACAAATGTTACTCGGTTTTAAGGTCTACAGAGCACACTGGAGCAATCCACCATGGAGTATCAGCCTGACTATTACCACACTGATTACCCTCCAGAGCAAAGTAGGCCATGGAGGCCTTGTTTCACTTCTACACAGTACAAGTTTAGTATCAAATTTTCTGTATGCTACTGTGAACTGTTCTGCTTTTTCTTCCCCACCCCATGGCTGCACAGCAACTTGTCCTTCAACTGTATTTCCCAGCATAACTACTTCAATTCACATTACTGGCTGCTACTTTGATTTAAAAATATTACAGGACTTCCAGTTAGTGAGAAGAAAAACCAGTAATTCAAAAACAGAGTTTTTTAAGCCATGGCAGGTGGCAGAATTTGTTCTTCTTTGTAACGGAGCTTAATCCCAAACCCTCTCTTCTTCCTGTCTGATTTAAACCATTGTTCTTTTCAGTTGGATACAGTCCTTGATAGCTGTTGGACAAAAGCTGATGACATCCATAACTGCCAGATAGCTCTCCTCTCTCTAATAGCCACAGAATTATCATCCAGGCATGGAAAAAGGCAAACATCAGCTTGTATGAGATTGTTCTACATTGTTTCTAAATTAGTGCTCTGCAATTTAAAAACTAATTCTCCTATCATTCATTTCATCTTTATCTGTTTGCCAGCTCAGAGGTTAAATGAAGCAAAATATCATGTTACCTTCCTTTAAATTTAGAAAAGGAAAACATATGGGGTTGTGAAAAAGAGAGGCACAGTCCTCAGATATTTTAAACTATGAAAATATTGTAAAATAACCAATATTGTCATGTTAAAATAAATGTTTGAACACAAAACTCCCAGATGACTAATGACCAGAATATTGTAACAATTACTTCTGTTCTAAAACATTTTTTGAAAACTGTGACGAAAAATTCAGACAAAAGAAAGTACTAATAATCATTTGCACATTTGCCTTGAGTTTAACTCACTTCCTTCTCTATCACTCTTCCTGTCTGAGCTTTAAGAAAGAAAAGCATTTTTTTCTCCATTCCAATACAATCCTGAATAGCAAATTAACAGCTTAAAAATTGCAATTATTACTTACTGAGATTGTGCAAATGCTGGTGTCTACATTCTCTTTTTCCATGAGATTACTAACAAGAACATTACCTGTCTCTCTCCACATAACAGACAGTAAGGACCCCATAAAAAATGATCAATTGGATTATCCAGTTTTCACACTTCATTTTGTAGAATTACTCCCTTCCTGTACAATTTTCAGTGATGTTTAACCAGCTCCCAAATGGCTCACAGTGTCCACTTCGCTTAACTAGCTTCAATTTTTTCCCAAAATCTAATTGTTCCAGCAAAAATTTCCTGACATATAACTCAAACCTCTCTTTTTCTCGGTGTTTCTATATGAAATGGGAGGCCAGCAGCTAATTTCTGAGTAAACACAGTGACAAAAACACCTGCAGAGAGACAAGAGCTCCAACAGCTGAGCTGAGAGAAGCTACTTCACTAATGTTTAATAGAATGTGTCACCCAAAAGCACTGGGAAAGATAATTCATCACAACTCGTATACTCAGGCCATAATCAGGACCAAAATCTTCAATATTTTCTCATAAAAATAGTGTGACTCAAACATATTTGCATTATCTGCAAGCTTTAAAGCTCCTGTTTTGTTGATTGGCAAGCCTGTCGATTGGCTAGTCCCTAAACTCTTATATTTATTTTCACTCTTTAAACACAGCATATACCTGGGTTTGGTGCTTTCTGAAAGAAGTTTTCTCTTTACTTGGTTGTAAGATCAGAAATGTTCTAGTGAGTTGTTGTCCATTTTTGTCTATGGTATTTCTTGCTTTGCTCACGAAAAACAAAGTAAGGAGCAATTCTGTTATGAAGCAAAGACTCCTCAGAGCACAGGCATGGGAATGCCATTTATTACTGTAAAAACAGGGAACAAGAACAACTGCATGTCCCCAGTTTCAGTGCCTGTGCAGAAGTTTAGGTACAGTTGGTCCTGTCTCAAGTGTGATCACTATTTTAATGATTCCATTATTCTTCTTTAACCACATTTACCTGTTTTTGACATGGGCACTGCAGCACTGATATCCAGAGATGAAGACTGGAGCCCATAGATGCTGCTGGGGATAATCTTTCCACAAACTATCAATCTGTTTTTGCCACTATGAGGACTTAGGGTATCACTTCCTATTTGGCAAGACAACACTAGTATTCATTATGTCCATTTACACCAGCAACAGCCATTTTTGAGAGACTTCAGGATCAGTTTCTGATGGATTAGCTGTAATATTAGATCAGATGCAGAATGTTTGAAGTTTAAAAGCATTATTCCAATTTGGTCTTGCAATACATTGTCAAGAATACATTGTTGCAGTATTTCCTCCCAAGTTCCATTAGGGCTGTGGGCTATAAAATATTTGTAATTAGAAGTGGGGCTGTATGTCTGAGGTGCTCTCTTTCTCTCACACAGAGCAGCAGAGAAGGCTGATTTCATACACCAGGCTCCACTCCTGACAAATCCGTGCCTGTCACAGAGGTTTTGTGCAGTGATGGACGGACTCGCACAACGCTGCAGCCAAACACCAAGTTATGACTCTTCATATTTGACATGCTTTCATTTCCTCCTCCTTAGCCCTGCACCCTCAGGGATTCTGCAGATCCACCAGGAGATTTCTCACTTGGAATAGAAAACCCAGGGCCTCCACCTACAAACTCTGTTTATTGGCTGCACTTCTGTAAAACTTCTGGGGGTGCCTGCTTGCATTCCACCCTCACCCCTAATCTCTGCTTCACACCCTCACCAGTCCTAGCAATGTGTCACTGCTTTTCCCAGCTTTCCAAAATGCCTTTCTTGCAGTGCCACAAGATGTAACAAGAACAACCTGCTCTCTTTGCCCCGTATTTGTGCTCCTTCCCCAGTCAAATCCCCCTGCCAGATGCTCATCTGCTACCACATAAAATTTGTCCCTTGTCAAAACTTCTTTTCCCTACCATTTATCCCAGCTGTCAAGCTTTGCACTGGCCTATCCCTCCCAATCCATCACGCTGTCCATCTGTTTGTCACACTGCTCTACAGCCGGCCCACGTGTCTTTCCCCACACAAAGCTCATGCCAGACACACACACAAGTGTTTTCTGAAGACACTTTCAAAGCCCTGTGACAAACAATGACTAAAATGGGCTCATACCCATCCTAGAAGGCTCCTTTATTAATTAAGGGACAGAACACACTTCAAGATGTGGAAGCCATTCCTTTAGATACCACTCTCCTGGCAGGAAAACACTGAAGCCCAGACTCTGCAGCTTTTCCAGCCAGCAAAGAGGCACCTAAGTCACCAAAAGGATGAATAAGGCAGAGGGAGAGCTCCAGAACAGATACAAACCAGCTTATTTCTCATTCAATAAATGTTAATATTGAACTTCTTAGATAGAGCAGCCTCTCATACCTTCTGAAGAAAAAAATCTAAACCAAACAAAACCCCAAACGCTGCATTAACTGATATGAAAATATCTGCTATAAGACACTCCTTGGTTCTTGATTAGGGTTTTCTGAGCTACAAACTGGGCTGCCCCTCCAAAGCCCCTCATCATGCTGTGCATGGTGTGCCTGCTGCAGCAGGCTGTCATTCTGGTAGAAAGAAATTCATTCCTGCAGGTCAACATTCTAAAAGGTGACCACACTTAGTTCCTCATGCAAAATAAAGCAACAAGACAATGACCTCACTTACCCCAGGGTATAAAATGTGAAGACTGGAGAAAAGGCTTTCTAGTTCTCTGGCCTCCGAGACTGGAAAGATTTTGCTCTGTGACCTCTCCAGGTTTTTACCCTTTTAAAGCATGTGCTTGAATTTCCTAGAACACAGCCGATCTGAAACAACAATAAAACATTTTTTCTCCTTATTGCAAACATGCCTGAAGTAATAACCAGTGGAAGTAAACTATCCCTACTGAACCATTTTTGAATGCACATAGCTCAAAAGTAGCCTTTAGCACACTGAGAATTACTCAACTGAAAATTCTAAGCCAGCTTTTAAAGGAATAAATGATGTGGAGTTAATAACAGTCAGCAGAAAATGCAGAACAAGCTACTGTACTGAAGCTGTTGCCTTCATAGTACATAAAAGACTCTTTTTTTTCTAACGTAAACACCACTGGTACAAAACATCTACTTTGTAGTGCCAGAGAAATACAAAATTCAGTGGCCTGTCTACAAAACCAACCTTGTCATGAAAGTTGTCCTGAACTCGGGGGTCAAACAAAAATGTAGTTCTTCAGCTCATTGTGAGGAGTGAGGCAGCAAAGGTGGAAAAAAGAAACCAAGTTCCTTTACATTGTGCAACAAGTGCTGCCTGTGAGGAAGAAGGTGACACTGAGCCAGACAAA